TGAGCTATGGTGGTACTAATTGTATTTGTCTCCATAAAACGTCTTTCAAAGTTTTATTAGATAATCAATAAGCTTGCAGTTTCTTATTTTCTTATTTAATGAGAAGTTACTAAAATTAAAAGAGAGTCCACAACCACCTTGATGAGACGATTGACATTAATAGGAAAATATTAACTACTTAGACTATTGGTGAGAGGACAAAGGAGATGATATATATAGTACGACACAATTAGAAAACCTGGTTTAGGGTTTTCAACTCTATTAAAAACAATCTTAAAAAAATATGACTCTTTATCTTAAATTTAAAAAAAAAATCAAAATATTGTTAAAGGGTTTTCGAGCTGGCCCGAGTTCGACCGGGCTAATTAAACCACAAAAATCTTGAGTCCGGACGGGCTTAGCGAGAAAAACCAGACTTTTATGAATATATATATATATAATTTTGAGCCCACTATTTTTAAGGCTTTTGACGTAATCGACATGCCTATGTATCTGTTCTCTCTTTTCCATTTTCTGTTAAAGTATTTATTATTTCACGTATATATTTTCTAATTAGGAACAGTTTTAGGAATAAATTCTAAAACACATACCTAAATAAATGATTAGGAATATAAGAAATCCCATGACATATCTTATGCACCATGTTCGGAGATTGAATTTCATAGATTCGTAAAATAAAAAATTATAATTATTGTTTTTAAAATTTAACTCACATTTATTTAATTTTATGGTCATATAACCTAAAAACCGAGATACTTATTCAATGTTGATATTGTAAACTATATATGAAAAGATTAAATGTAAAAAATGAAAGGCAAGTTTGTGAACAAAATAATAATGGATGAAAATTTGAAATTTACTATTTTGACTCTCTTTTCTATTATAATTTTTGAATGTGAAAAATTAGTGAATTTAATTCATCTATTTATATTATGTATATTATGTATATTGACCATTTTAATTTTTAAAGATTGAGCAAGTTTTAAGATTTTTCAATATAAGTGTGCAACACACTTCGCATATTTTTACAGTGTTTGCTAATTTAAAACGTAATAACAATCATCCATTGGAATTCTAATTTTAATTTTTCTGGAATCGTACTTTTATAGCGCTTCTAAATTCATGTTGTTTCTTGAAAGGTCATTACACCTTCAAGCAAGCCTTTTTGCAATCTAATTAAAATTGTTATAGATTATTGTTATGTAAAACTGGGAAAAACAAAGTGACTCGTTTATAATGCTATTATTATATCGTTGAAAATTTTGGATACAAATCGTAAACCTAATCTTATTTTTCAACTAAAAAAAAAGAAAAAAAAATGGAATCGTTAACATTATTTTTAATTAAATTCTACTTTTTGGTAGGAGGAAGTGTGCCAACAGTTTATGAACATTGTTCCTTTAGCATAGGAGGAAAAAATGGATTGAATGGAAGTTGTGGAATGCAATTGGTTTCAGCTTCCAAAATTGCTTTGCAACAAGCAGGGCCTATGTTTCCGAACTTTCCAATGAGTATAGATTGCGAAAACTCTGCGATACACCCTGGAATATTCATAAAAGATGACAAACATTTTGTTATATCAGGTAATCCTGGTACACCGGGACTCGGTAGGAATGAAAATGGAAAAGGAAACGGTGCCGAAAATTGTGGTAATTGAGCATTTGCAGACAGTGCAATGCATAAAACCGCCAGTAGAAAAATCACGTTTTTGAAAGCCATGATGAAAAAAAAGATGGTTGAAATATTCCAATATATGATTCTTTCTCGTGTTTGTTGTTGAGTGATGAACAATACTAAGATCAGTTGTTATTTATAGGGGAAGAAATGAGCTATGGTGGTACTAATTGTATTTGTCTCCATAAAACGTCTTTCAAATTTTTATTAGATAATCAATAAGCTTGCAATTTCTTATTTTCTTATTGAATGAGAAGTTACTAAAATTAAAAGAGAGTCCACAACCACCTTGATGAGACGATTGACATTAATAGGAAAATATTAACTACTTAGACTATTGATGAGAGGACAAAGGAGATGATATATATAGTACGACACAATTCGAAAACCTGGTTTAGGGTTTTCAACTCTATTAAAAACAATCTTAAAAAAATATGACACTTAATCTTAAAAATTAAAAAAAAAATCAAAATATTGTTAAAGGGTTTTCGAGCTGGCCCGAGTTCGACCGGGCTAATTAAACCACAAAAATCTTGAGTCCGGACGGGCTTAGCGAGAAAAACCAGACTTTTATGAATATATATATATATAATTTTGAGCCCACTATTTTTAAGGCTTTTGACGTAATCGACATGCCTATGTATCTGTTCTCTCTTTTCCATTTTCTGTTAAAGTATTTATTATTTCACGTATATATTTTCTAATTAGGAACAGTTTTAGGAATAAATTCTAAAACACATACCTAAATAAATGATTAGGAATATAAGAAATCCCATGACATATCTTATGCACCATGTTCGGAGATTGAATTTCATAGATTCGTAAAATAAAAAATTATAATTATTGTTTTTAAAATTTAACTCACATTTATTTAATTTTATGGTCATATAACCTAAAAACCGAGATACTTATTCAATGTTGATATTGTAAACTATATATGAAAAGATTAAATGTAAAAAATGAAAGGCAAGTTTGTGAACAAAATAATAATGGATGAAAATTTGAAATTTACTATTTTGACTCTCTTTTCTATTATAATTTTTGAATGTGAAAAATTAGTGAATTTAATTCATCTATTTATATTATGTATATTATGTATATTGACCATTTTAATTTTTAAAGATTGAGCAAGTTTTAAGATTTTTCAATATAAGTGTGCAACACACTTCGCATATTTTTACAGTGTTTGCTAATTTAAAACGTAATAACAATCATCCATTGGAATTCTAATTTTAATTTTTCTGGAATCGTACTTTTATAGCGCTTCTAAATTCATGTTGTTTCTTGAAAGGTCATTACACCTTCAAGCAAGCCTTTTTGCAATCTAATTAAAATTGTTATAGATTATTGTTATGTAAAACTGGGAAAAACAAAGTGACTCGTTTATAATGCTATTATTATATCGTTGAAAATTTTGGATACAAATCGTAAACCTAATCTTATTTTTCAACTAAAAAAAAAGAAAAAAAAATGGAATCGTTAACATTATTTTTAATTAAATTCTACTTTTTGGTAGGAGGAAGTGCGCCAACAGTTTTTGAACATTGTTCCTTTAGCATAGGAGGAAAAAATGGATTGAATGGAAGTTGTGGAATGCAATTGGTTTCAGCTTCCAAAATTGCTTTGCAACAAGCAGGGCCTATGTTTCCGAACTTTCCAATGAGTATAGATTGCGAAAACTCTGCGATACACCCTGGAATATTCATAAAAGATGACAAACATTTTGTTATATCAGGTAATCCTGGTACACCGGGACTCGGTAGGAATGAAAATGGAAAAGGAAACGGTGCTGGAAATTGTGGTAATTGAGCATTTGCAGACAGTGCAATGCATAAAACCGCCAGTAGAAAAATCACGTTTTTGAAAGCCATGATGAAAAAAAAAGATGGTTGAAATATTCCAATATATGATTCTTTCTCGTGTTTGTTGTTGAGTGATGAACAATACTAAGATCAGTTGTTATTTATAGGGGAAGAAATGAGCTATGGTGGTACTAATTGTATTTGTCTCCATAAAACGTCTTTCAAATTTTTATTAGATAATCAATAAGCTTGCAATTTCTTATTTTCTTATTGAATGAGAAGTTACTAAAATTAAAAGAGAGTCCACAACCACCTTGATGAGACGATTGACATTAATAGGAAAATATTAACTACTTAGACTATTGATGAGAGGACAAAGAAGATGATATATATAGTACGACACAATTAGAAAACCTGGTTTAGGGTTTTCAACTCTATTAAAAACAATCTTAAAAAAATATGACACTTAATCTTAAAAATTAAAAAAAAAAATCAAAATATTGTTAAAGGGTTTTCGAGCTGGCCCGAGTTCGACCGGGCTAATTAAACCACAAAAATCTTGAGTCCGGACGGGCTTAGCGAGAAAAACCAGACTTTTATGAATATATATATATATAATTTTGAGCCCACTATTTTTAAGGCTTTTGACGTAATCGACATGCCTATGTATCTGTTCTCTCTTTTCCATTTTCTGTTAAAGTATTTATTATTTCACGTATATATTTTCTAATTAGGAACAGTTTTAGGAATAAATTCTAAAACACATACCTAAATAAATGATTAGGAATATAAGAAATCCCATGACATATCTTATGCACCATGTTCGGAGATTGAATTTCATAGATTCGTAAAATAAAAAATTATAATTATTGTTTTTAAAATTTAACTCACATTTATTTAATTTTATGGTCATATAACCTAAAAACCGAGATACTTATTCAATGTTGATATTGTAAACTATATATGAAAAGATTAAATGTAAAACATGAAAGGCAAGTTTGTGAACAAAATAATAATGGATGAAAATTTGAAATTTACTATTTTGACTCTCTTTTCTATTATAATTTTTGAATGTGAAAAATTAGTGAATTTAATTCATCTATTTATATTATGTATATTATGTATATTGACCATTTTAATTTTTAAAGATTGAGCAAGTTTTAAGATTTTTCAATATAAGTGTGCAACACACTTCGCATATTTTTACAGTGTTTGCTAATTTAAAACGTAATAACAATCATCCATTGGAATTCTAATTTTAATTTTTCTGGAATCGTACTTTTATAGCGCTTCTAAATTCATGTTGTTTCTTGAAAGGTCATTACACCTTCAAGCAAGCCTTTTTGCAATCTAATTAAAATTGTTATAGATTATTGTTATGTAAAACTGGGAAAAACAAAGTGACTCGTTTATAATGCTATTATTATATCGTTGAAAATTTTGGATACAAATCGTAAACCTAATCTTATTTTTCAACTAAAAAAAAAGAAAAAAAAATGGAATCGTTAACATTATTTTTAATTAAATTCTACTTTTTGGTAGGAGGAAGTGCGCCAACAGTTTTTGAACATTGTTCCTTTAGCATAGGAGGAAAAAATGGATTGAATGGAAGTTGTGGAATGCAATTGGTTTCAGCTTCCAAAATTGCTTTGCAACAAGCAGGGCCTATGTTTCCGAACTTTCCAATGAGTATAGATTGCGAAAACTCTGCGATACACCCTGGAATATTCATAAAAGATGACAAACATTTTGTTATATCAGGTAATCCTGGTACACCGGGACTCGGTAGGAATGAAAATGGAAAAGGAAACGGTGCCGAAAATTGTGGTAATTGAGCATTTGCAGACAGTGCAATGCATAAAACCGCCAGTAGAAAAATCACGTTTTTGAAAGCCATGATGAAAAAAAAGATGGTTGAAATATTCCAATATATGATTCTTTCTCGTGTTTGTTGTTGAGTGATGAACAATACTAAGATCAGTTGTTATTTATAGGGGAAGAAATGAGCTATGGTGGTACTAATTGTATTTGTCTCCATAAAACGTCTTTCAAATTTTTATTAGATAATCAATAAGCTTGCAGTTTCTTATTTTCTTATTTAATGAGAAGTTACTAAAATTAAAAGAGAGTCCACAACCACCTTGATGAGACGATTGACATTAATAGGAAAATATTAACTACTTAGACTATTGGTGAGAGGACAAAGGAGATGATATATATAGTACGACACAATTAGAAAACCTGGTTTAGGGTTTTCAACTCTATTAAAAACAATCTTAAAAAAATATGACTCTTTATCTTAAATTTTAAAAAAAAATCAAAATATTGTTAAAGGGTTTTCGAGCTGGCCCGAGTTCGACCGGGCTAATTAAACCACAAAAATCTTGAGTCCGGACGGGCTTAGCGAGAAAAACCAGACTTTTATGAATATATATATATATATATATATATATATATATATATAATTTTGAGCCCGCTATTTTTAAGGCTTTTGACGTAATCGACATGCCTATGTATCTGTTCTCTCTTTTCCATTTTCTTTTAAAGTATTTATTATTTCACGTATATATTTTCTAATTAGGAACAGGTTTAGGAATAAATTCTAAAACACATACCTAAATAAATGATTAGGAATATAAGACATCCCACGACATATCTTATGCACCATGTTCGGAGATTGAATTTCATAGATTCGTAAAATAAAAAATTATAATTATTGTTTTTAAAATTTAACTCACATTTATTTAATTTTATGGTCATATAACCTAAAAACCGAGATACTTTTTCAATGTTGATATTGTAAACTATATATGAAAAGATTAAATGTAAAAAATGAAAGGCAAGTTTGTGAACAAAATAATAATGGATGAAAATTTGAAATTTACTATTTTGACTCTCTTTTCTATTATAATTTTTGAATGTGAAAAATTAGTGAATTTAATTCATCTATTTATATTATGTATATTATGTATATTGACCATTTTAATTTTTAAAGATTGAGCAAGTTTTAAGATTTTTCAATATAAGTGTGCAACACACTTCGCATATTTTTACAGTGTTTGCTAATTTAAAACGTAATAACAATCATCCATTGGAATTCTAATTTTAATTTTTCTGGAATCGTGCTTTTATAGCGCTTCTAAATTCATGTTGTTTCTTGAAAGGTCATTACACCTTCAAGCAAGCCTTTTTGCAATCTAATTAAAATTGTTATAGATTATTGTTATGTAAAACTGGGAAAAACAAAGTGACTCGTTTATAATGCTATTATTATATCGTTGAAAATTTTGGATACAAATCGTAAACCTAATCTTATTTTTCAACTAAAAAAAAAGAAAAAAAAATGGAATCGTTAACATTATTTTTATTTAAATTCTACTTTTTGGTAGGAGGAAGTGCACCAACAGTTTTTGAACACTGTTCCTTTAGCATAGGAGGAAAAAATGGATTGAATGGAAGTTGTGGAATGCAATTGGTTTCAGCTTCCAAAATTGCTTTGCAACAAGCAGGGCCTATGTTTCCGAACTTTCCAATGAGTATAGATTGCGAAAACTCTGCGATACACCCTGGAATATTCATAAAAGATGACAAACATTTTGTTATATCAGGTAATCCTGGTACACCGGGACTCGGTAGGAATGAAAATGGAAAAGGAAACGGTGCCGGAAATTGTGGTAATTGAGCATTTGCAGACAGTGCAATGCATAAAACCGCCAGTAGAAAAATCACGTTTTTGAAAGCCATGATGAAAAAAAAAGATGGTTGAAATATTCCAATATATGATTCTTTCTCGTGTTTGTTGTTGAGTGATGAACAATACTAAGATCAGTTGTTATTTATAGGGGAAGAAATGAGCTATGGTGGTACTAATTGTATTTGTCTC